AGCCCCAGCACGGCCCGGATCGGGGGGTCCCCGGCGGTGCGGGGGGTCCCCGGGGCCGCTCTGCCCCCGCCGGGGTTGGCCGGGGGGGACACACGGGGACAGTGTCGGTCACGAGACCGCGGGGCAGGGCCCGGTCACGCGCCGCCCGCCGGGCACTCGTTACGAAACTGGGCGGAATCCGCGATTTTAAAAAAAAAAAACCAACCCCCTCACCTGGCCGGGGATGCCGGCGCTGTAGTTCCTCTTCCCTCCCCGCCGCAGGACGTACCCCCGCCCGCACGAGTACCTGGATGTGTCGGCGCTGCCGCGGAGCTGGGACTGGAGGAACGTGGATGGAGTGAACTACGCGAGCACCACTCGGAACCAGCACATCCCGCAGTACTGCGGGTCCTGCTGGGCCCACGGCAGCACCAGCGCCCTGGCAGGTACGCCCTGCACCCCCTGCCCACCCGCCGGTTTTCGGAGGCCAGGGAAGCTTATCTTCACGTTACTGGCAGCTGGTGTAAGGACGAGGTGCTAAGTCACTGCAGCAAAAACGGGGCCGAGATGTCTGTGAATACACCGGGAACAGTAGGAATGCCCAGGCTGAAGGCAAGGAGGTGCGAGGGGGAGCACTGGCATGGTTAGAAACCTGTTTGCAGAAGGAATGTGTTCACAGCTCCTGCGGGTAAGAACTGGGGGTTCTGCCCTCTCCTCCATGGCAGCAGCAGATGCACAAGCAGTTCTTGTGTCTCCCTCCCTTTTGTGGTACCTCAGCCTGTGCTGCAGCTGCAGAACAAGAAGTGCTCCAGCCGTGCCTGGGAATGAGGAAACGAAAGAAGTTGCCTCTTGTGGGGAGGGCCCGAGGGGTATTTGTTTCAGGAGCCCGATTATTCAAACAAGCTATCACAGCACACAGACAATCTGGTTTCAGCAGCAATCTTCGTATCAAACTTCTGCTTAGGAAAAGGGAAGTAGTGGTTTGCTACAGATGAAGTAAATTCTCTAGAGAGAACACATGATTTACATGCTGCAGAAATCCTGTTTGCATAGGGAGGCTGTAAGAAGATGGACTGTGAAGGACAGATAGAGGAAACTGTGCAGAAAGGGGAAGACAATGCAAGTGTGAGCAGACAGCAGGAATCATGAGGGATACATTCTTAAGAGGTACAAGAATTCACTTGTGTGATACCTGTCAGAAAGTAGTGAAGTACTAGGATAGGTAAAATACAGCAACTTGTTAATTATATAATTTTGGTTAAAACTTAATATGTAGGTATGCCAACGTGTAGTTTTAAAAATCAGAGTATTTTTTTTCTTAATTGTTGTGAGTAGTTTAAAGCATTCATTCCTTTTTTTTTTTTTTCTTCACTAAGACTAGTCTGGCATAATAGTTCCCAGGTCTGTCAAGTATATTTGAATGTTGTTAGTACTAATAGGATTACAAGTACCAGGGTGGCACAGTTAAGACTGTTAATGCAGGGTGAGAAGCAGTTTATAAATACCCATCAGGAAGCTTTTCTGCCAAGTAAGCTGATTTCTGACAAAATAAGGCAGCAGGGTGGCAATGCCTGTCTGAGATGGCAGGATGACAGTGAGATGTTGGTGTAACAGCAAGGAGTTAATTCTGAAAGCTTTTCCTTGCTTTAAGACTGTCTCAGAGCCAGTGACTTGTGTGGGCTTATGGCTGGCATGGGCTTATGCATAAATCTCTACTCTGTGAGAGATGCTGGTGAGAGCTGGTTTTATGATGTGTATTTGAAAACTCTTTGCTGTCAAAGCCACGAAACAGATCTGAAGTTTTCAGAAGCTTGAAGTAAAAGAGGTCTAGGGCTCTTCAAGGCTTTAGACAGATCTTACTCATCTGCATATTTTTGCTGAGTTTTTAGTGGAAAAAAAACCCCTTCTAATGGAAACCCCCACTTATAACTCAGCCTCTGGTTTGAATTAGGTCATGCTGTGCCTCAGTGCTGATAGTGGAGGGTTTTGCAACCACAAGCGCTGTTGTCTGCAAACAGCTACAGGTTCAAAGAAAAGGAGACAGTTTGAACACTACTTGCGAAGTGTAGCCACCCACATATTCCACTCACAACCCCCAATTTCTTCTCTTTACAGACAGAATCAACATAAAGAGGAAAGGAGCATGGCCCTCTGCCTACCTCTCTGTTCAGAACGTCATCGACTGTGCTGACGCCGGGTCCTGTGAAGGGGGAGACCACTCTGGGGTCTGGGTGTACGCCCACGACCACGGCATTCCCGACGAGACCTGCAACAACTACCAAGCCAAGGACCAAAGTATGGTGCCTTTGCTTTGCTGTAGGAATCCTCTCCAGGTTTAACAGATCTTAGTATATTAAAAAAAAAGAGTTTATTGGGTTTTCAGAATACTGGTTGCCGCTGTTTGACTGACAGAACAGGTTTTCTTTAGAGGCCTGTGTGTGTCTCTCCTTACTCCAGACAGACAGTGTAGCACTAAAACATGCCCAGGCAAGTTTGGACAGCTAAATTGTTTTAATTTAATCTCTTAAATCTGTGACACACAATATCTAATGTACTGAAATATTTACAAGTGTCACCTTAAGCTAAACAAAGGAGAAATTTAACCTTTGTCTGGTCATGTATGACTGGAATGATTTCTCTGTCTATGGAGAGGCATGTCCTCATCAAAGCATTTGTGTGTATGGACTAAAAAATAGTAACTAGAGATAGTAGGGACTTAAATTGTGGTTTTCAGAAAGGTATTTAGTTCACCAGAGAGAAGACATATTATTAATATTTGCCTCACATAAGTTAAAAAAAACCTTACCGTCCTATCATTAATTCACTGGAAGGAAAGCACCCTCCTGCAGTGATAATCTCAATTCTGTTTTACAGAGTGTAAGAAGTTCAACCAGTGTGGGACTTGTGTCACTTTTGGAGAATGTCATGTGATCAAGAACTACACTCTCTGGAAAGTTGCTGACTATGGGTCTGTCAGTGGACGAGAAAAAATGATGGCAGAAATCTACACTAATGGGCCAATTAGGTAAAAACCAAAAATGTTTATCTACAAGTAATATTGGGGTAAAAATACCTGAAGCTCAGTCTAGTGACTGCAGTGTAGTTTTCCACTCTAGCATATGTGAGCAGCTCTGCACTGCTTTGCAGACTTCAGCTTGTTTGTACATCAACTGAGCTCAGAATTCAGAATTGTTTTGTAGCCAGGCCCCGGCCCTGATCCCCTGGTATAGAAAATCCTTTCTCTGCTTTCTTACAGCTGTGGTATCATGGCTACTGAGAAGCTGGATGCCTACACAGGAGGCCTCTACACAGAGTACAACCCCTCTCCCACAGTGAATCACATCGTGTCCGTGGCCGGCTGGGGCGTGGAAAATGGGACAGAGTATTGGATTGTCCGGAACTCGTGGGGTGAACCCTGGGTAAGGAAGCAGGGGAACAAACACATCTGCAGGATCACTCTGGAGGGAAGGTGGGGCTTTTCACTTCTGGAGTAGAAGCTCCAGAGCTGGCCTGTGGATACAAAACTGAACTAGACTAACAGTTTAAAAATGAAACTTAACTAAGCTGGAGACAAGGATATTCATCCAAAGCTACTTGATGTCAACTCAATCCCAAATTCTGCCCTTCTGTGCAGCTCCTGTTGTGGGCAAATGTAAAGTTACTTTAGTTGTAGGCAAGAATCAAGTCACACACCTGGAATGGATGAGTGGGATATAAATCCACCAAAGCAGGCTGCCCCATGAACGCGGTGTTACACTTCCTCTTGAGTGAATGCCTACATTCACTTATAAATAATTCATATTTGGAAGACAGAACAGACTCAACAATCTGCATTTTCTGTAGTTGTATTTTCTAATTTACAATGCAAATTCAATCCTTTACAGGGCGAAAGAGGGTGGCTGAGAATTGTGACAAGTGCCTACAAAGGTGGGAGAGGAGCAGACTACAATCTTGCTATTGAAGAGGACTGTACATATGGAGATCCTATAGTTCCTTGATTCTACATTGTACGTATTTGTTTAGGAATTACTTTGTTTGGAAGCTTCCCCGCACAGCCTTTTTTTGTCTAAGACTCTCTCACAGTTCCACACCATCAGGCAGTTCTGCAAAATTAGCCCAGATAGCACCACACGAGTGCTTCAAAAAATACAGAGCTGCCTTGAGATAGTTACTTACAATTAATTTGCCCATGAAAGAGTTGTCTGTCTTGATGCACAGTATTGAAATCATACTGACTTAATCACAGAACCTGTATGTGTAAATATCTATTTTTTTTTAAAATACAAATTATGTAGGCGTACTGGAAAGGAAAAAGTATACTCAATATTTGGGTTTAGAGCTTATTTTAAATTCTCTGACAGTACTGAGATGATGCAAAAAACAAAACTAATTCTGGACATGATGAATTAAAAAACTAAATCCCCTTTTTCCTTGGCCTCCTGGTGAAACGAGGTGGTGGAAATGCATGTAGTTGCTTTTATCCATCAAAATGATATAATGGGAATTACTTTGATCAAAAGATGGTCTAAACATTTCTTAATTAGTCTTTGCTCAAATTCCTTGCTTTAATCTGTGATTGACTGTGCCATTTTTCTCCTAAAGGCAAAGGATAAATTGCCATAACTCGGAACTCCTCACTAATTTGAAGAAATGAGGCAAATTCCCTTCCTTAGTCTTTTAAGTGACAAATCAGTGCCATATCAAATGTTACTAACTGGCATTGTTAATTGCATTTAATAAACAATTTTTCTCATAACTGACTGGATATTTATTGTAAGATCTTATTAATTCCTCTGCTTGGTTGTCTCCCCCTGTTCTACTTAAGCTGTCTTAGGTCTAGACCAGCTGCCCAAAGCTTATCCAGGATGGTGCTGCTTTTACTGGATTTTTACTTGTGAAAGGCCTGACTGACAACAGTCTGTACAGCAGTAGAGTTCAGAAATTAAACCACTGGCTGCTGTCTCAAGAATTATCAGGGTAGCTCAGAATTCCATAAATGAATAACGAAACCTTGAAAGATATCTCTGGAAAAGAAAAAACACCTTTATTTAAAGGTAATTCATATTCTCGGGTGTATCCCCCACTGTTTGGCATCAACCAGGACAGAGCAGAGATAATTATAAAAACAAAGCCACAAGAAGCAGTAATGAAACTTCTGCACACATTCATCTTCTTGGACAGCAGTGGAATTCCGACATGGTAATTAAACTTACCAGTAACATCTGATGCATCTATTTACCAAAAAATAGATTCTGAGAGGTAACACACACATAGAGTTCATATCCCACTAGAAAACTATCCTTGATTGTTACAACTCCACTTGTGTTGCACAAAATGGGTTTTTTCATAGCAGTAAATATGTGGGATATTTAGAATTCTAATAGAACGCAAAGGGGAGAAAGAGGCATTGGGGCTTCTCTGCTGCACAGAGCTAATCACACAAATCCCTTTTTTTACAGCTTGCAATATCAAAGCCTAAAGCATTCAAGATGTATTCAGAATTATCTGCAAAGTGTTTTTAGTAGGAACAACCTTCCCCACTGTTCAGGTTCTGGGCATTACACAAAGAATGAGTGCCAAATTCACTAAGTAACAAAAATAACGTTCTTTTAAACAAATCTGTTTCTCTCTTGCTCTCCCCTTCAGAACGTTCAGATTTATACTGATTTGTGGAACAACAGAAAATCCTTCAGTATTACTCCATTTGCTAAATTACATTAACAGTTCTCTGATAGGAAATACAAACAGTCCTCTGACAGGAACTTCAAGGTCACCACACAAGTCAATCAAGTGCCCTTCAGCCTTTTCCTCCTTGTTTTATGTCTGTTAGTTTTGTTGGCTTTGTTGTTGTTTTCTTTCTGCTGCTGCATTGCCCAGTTATAGAACCCTGCTGGTGGAGAGCATGGCAAAGTAGTGATCATGTGCTCTGCAGTCTTGATACTTTCCACTGCTTAGTTCATCATAATAAAGTTAGATTTGCAATGAGCTTAAAAAGAAAAAAAAAAAAAAGAAGACAGTGTTCAGTACATTACTCTGAGTCAGTAATTTATCTGCTTGCATGTAGATTTCTACATTATGTAAATAATTAGGATTTTAGGGTCTGGAAAATGTTTTTGTTTTAGGATAGGAGAGTATTATGACAGAATACAGTGTATTATGACAGACTACTTCCCTTCCTCTCCTTTCCTTACTGCAATGCTAGTTCTCAAAAACCAGTATTTATCTCCAGTTCCTCACTACTACCCCCAGATTCTTGATTTCAGGAAAATTGCTAAACATAGGCCCCGAAAAGGGAAGTTGTCTGTCAAAATATCTGGCAGTAATTTTAAGCAATCCTCCTCCTAAACATTATTTGCAGTTGTAACATACACAAATGGAAGCAGGTGTGCAAGGAATAAATGGACTTACCTATGAACTCAGTGACAGGATCATGTTCACCTTCTGTTTTTATAGTACCTGCAATACTTTCGTTCTCCAAGATTGGAAGAAAAAGCTGTACAAAGTCTGAGGTATATGGAGGAGCAATCACATCAAGCACCTGAAACAGCAGACAAAACCAGATTACTCTTCCACTTACAGGGGTAATAGGGACAATATTTAATTCACATACTAGTCTTGAAGCATACAAGTAGTTGCACTTAAGACCTCTTGTTCTCCATACAAATAATTAGCTATGTATTCTTGAAGTAATCTGTCCAGTACCTTATTAATTCCAGAAGTCAGGAATTAGTAGGACTGTATCACATCCTTGTGAATACTGATACACATACATTGCTCAGAATCTGATCTCAGAACTTGAAACATTTCTGAATCTAAGGCAAGCTGATTTAATATCCAAACACAACCAATATTAAACTTTAGATGTCAGTAAATGCAGTTTTTGCCACTGACCTCTGTCACAAAGTATCTGATGAGTGAGATATCCGTGTCCAGCTTCTCCAGGCATTTGCGGATGTAGCTGACAACAGGCAGGACGTACCCTCGGCTGAGCAAGTGCACCATCCTGTCCAAGAGAGTCTTCTTCAATTCCAGCTGGTGGTGCAGGGAGGGAAGAACCATCAGATCAGAACTTCCTCTCAGAAGCCTTCGATTTTTGTTGCTTCAATATCTGATATGTTACATTTTAACCATGACCACAGTCCTAAACTAAGCTCTCCAAACTGCTCTGACAGCAAAAGCCATTAACTTCAATAAGTGTAACTAATATGAAGGAACACAAATACTGCATCTTTTGAGAGTCACCTGCTCCATCACATCCAGCTGGGAATGTTCTGTTTCAAAGAGCTTGACAAGAAGTTGTAGGACTTGGGGATGAAGCAGCTGATGGCATGTACTGATCTGCAAACAAGGCAGCAAAGTCAGATGCTCGGAACTGCAATTTAAAAACCAATGCAGCAGTCTTTATTAGACAAGTTTACACTGATGTTCAGTGCCAAATGGAAATTCATTTAGAGAACTATTCTACCATTTCTTTCTTTGATGCCCAAGTTTTCCTAGTGTAAATAACGCTGGGCTGAAAAAACCAAATAATTAACTCTGAATAGATTAATCTCTGTATATTTAGTGACTTACTGCAAACAACAGGCATTCAATGGACTGGTTGTTACAAGCATCAAAATTGTTCTTGCTCTCCAGCAAAGCTTTAGATACACTCTTACCTCATCTAATAGTGCCAGGTGAACTGGAGTGTGATCAGTCTGCAGCTGGAAGTATCGTGGTTCTGACACTGTCCAATCCACCCACTTCAGCACACCCATAGCCACCACTGGGAACCTACAGAAAGAGAGATCACTTCAGCACAGGAGCATGAAAAATAAATGAAAGCTTTACTAGGAAGACAAAGTAATCTGTCACCTTTTCCCAGTGGCACAGAAAAGCATGTTCTGCGACCCAAAGATAACAAGTTGCGTGTGAGAGGCAGGATTTATGTCTTCATGAGAGATTCCAAAGAGTCAGATGGACAATTCTGAAAGCTGCTTTCAGACCACATCTTCACATATTCTACAGCGAGGATGCCCTCACAGAGTAGCCCATAAAGACATCTCCCTTTAGCAGCGCTGCCTCTCCCAAATAATACTTTTCTTCCAACAACTGAAGCCTGGGACCAGCCTCTCTGCTCACCTGATGCACTGATAGAGGGTGCTCAGCTCTGCAACCAACTCTGATGCTCCTTTGTTCTCATTGCAACACAGATTGTGAACAGTTTCGATGGCTTTTGAAGTTGACTTGAGTTCGTCCTTGTTTATGCTGACTCTCTTGTTCTGAAAAATTATTGCAAAGTTTGAATGCAAGAGTTGTGAGTGTACTTTTATGGTAGTATTTGATCATCAGGTTCTACATTCTTTAGTCATGGCAGTTGAAGCCAGAAACAGTTTATATTCAAATAAGTAACTTCATGACCACACGTTTCCTGCAGCACAGTCAGGCTGCTGTAGGTAAAAATAATGTTATTCACAGAGCTGAGCATTACCTTTTTCCACATCTCTACCACACTGGCTGCATAAGCCAGTATGTGAATATATTTATGTTTGTGGTCCTGGTTGATCTTAGCACCTGGCTTAAACAAGGACTGCATGAAGAGGTCCAGAAAGGCAGGTACTCGAATCTGTGAAGAAAATGAATTGTCTGTCAGAGCCTGAGAATTAGGACAGGTGATTAAAAATACAGTTTTCGCATCTGATTTATCTCACACAGAGATAACACACACTTCCCCTTGAGAGTAGGTTAGACGGTTTTCTGAAGAGACCCAGAGTTTTACGGAAAAAAAATAAAAATTAAAAAAAAGGAAAACAGAATTACAGACTATATTGCTAAAGTATCTAAATGCCATCATATTTGTTACCAGAATTCATGTTAGAATGAGGCAGTGAGAAATATAAAATGTGTCATTTAGGTCTGCTTATAAGAAACTGCAGAAGTGGGCAGGTTTTTGATCAAAAGATTTAATTCCTCGCCATCTTTATCTCCTCTTGCAAATTTCTTTAATTTAACTATATGTAAAAGGACAGCTTGGAATAATTAAAAAAAAACAACAAAAAACACCAAGAAGGTAATGCAAAACAGAATACAAGTAGCAGTTTCACATTTAGACATTACTTACAATTATAGAGGGACGAGTGATATTTAATTTTTGTGTCCATACAACACTTAGCACAACAAGACATCACGTTTCTGAGTGCTACTGCAATAGAAGTAAGTATCAGAGGTTATAAATAGGTAACTACTAACCAGTTCTACTGGAGGTGGGTCCATGCTTGTAAACATTTTGAACAGGACAGTGATATCTGCTGGATTCAGAGCTCCTTTGGACAGCATTGCACCAAGAGCCTGACATGCTCGGGGATAGGAGGCTGCAGTACCCAGTGCTAGAGTGATCTGACTGGCATCATGGCCTCTGCATGAAGAGCAGACACACACAGTGACTTATTTTCTTAATTCAGTGACTTATTCTCTTAATTCAGACATTTTAGTTTAAGCCTCACTGTGTCAACAGGCCACATCCTTTGGAATGCAATGCCTTAGGGCTGAACCCCTTGTTCTGGGTAAGTACAGAAATAGGTCTGTATGTTTGTTTTTAAGATGTTCATAGAATAGTAAAAATACATATTTCTTAGTAGACAGAAACTTCACTTCTTTGCTTTTCCAATTTCAGGTCGCCTGGGTACAGGGCACTGAACTCTTCTGCTGTTCTACAGACGAAAGCCTGCTACAAGAGCTGCTGTGTTGCAGCTAAGGATTCTCCTTTTGCCAGTAAAAGGTAACTAAGATAAGCAAAAGACAGCAGTTTGCAGATTCTGTTGACTTATATTTTAACTAATAGTGTACTTCCCACTTACTTCTCATGGGCGTATCGCTGCACCTCCTGAGCGATCCTCCTGACAGCCGACCCTCCCTGCTCCTCCTGAGCCAGGATGGACATCATGGACTGGGCAAAAAGGTAAGTGTGTTCCCCATGGCACACCATCTTCTGTGAAAGCACACAGCACAAAGCTTACCAGTTAACAAGGAACTTCCCAGCGTGCTGTTGTGGTTACATTGTCACGAGAGTGAAGGGCAAAAACAAGCGGCAAAATTGCAAAGTTAAAAAAAAAAACAAAAACACACACACACAAAAAACTAAGCAACAAAACCAAAAACCCAACAGCCAAGAAGAAGGTACTGATATAATAAAGCATTGATACCAAGCATGAAGAAATGGCTAAATTGATAACTTCATTTCTTAAATGCCAAAATTGAGAGGGAAATCTCTTTTACTTACACTCGGTACTTTCTCTGCAGTATTTAAACAGTATGAGAAGTACAAAGTCACTCAAAAATCATCAGGTTATTTCACAACATAAGAACATATGCTGGGTTGATTCAGGTGGCAGCTTTCACATTGATGTGGATGATAAAATAATTATTATAATTTGCCAAGGGTCTGACAAGACTGATCTTAGCATTACACATTAAATGTGAAAGACGACATTTCTACCTTCACCTTTTTACAATCCATTTAATAAATATAAGAAGCGTCATAGAGTCAACCCAAGGAATTCCTGGTCACAGAACAACCAAAAAGCATAGATTTCTGGGTTTTAACTCAGATACACCTTCTCAAGATTTTGCAGGAAATCAAGATTGTCTACGATCTCACACTGATCTGCATCTCCTAACCAGAAAGGAAAACACTTCTTTTTCCACATAAAAAGGAAAAAACCCAAAACCTCAAAAAAAAACCCCCAACAAAAACAAACAAACAAACAAAACCCCAAAAAACAACTTACAGCAAACTCAGGGAGGTTTTTTTCAAGGTTTTCTTCTCCTCCATCCAAAATTGTTGCCAGAGATGTACGCAGGACTCTGGAAAATACTTCTAGTTGCTGACATGCTGTTGAAACACTGGTTATTTCCCCTTGATATCCAGCATCAGATATAAGCTACAAAAACATCAGAAAAAACTTGTTATTTATATTTCAGATATCCTAACGAGTCTAGAAGAACATACAAAATGCAACATTCACCTTGTATACACTTATTGGAATTACATTTGTATCATAGTTTACAGAGGAGGAAACCAATAAAGATGTAGCAAAAATAAAGCACACCATAATAATATAAACTATTTCAGAGCACAGCAAGATACATTTTTTGTCCCAGAAACATACAGAAGTGACCGAAACACTCCACTGCACCAGAAACCCAAGATTTTCAAATACAGATCAAAGGGAAAAAAACAAACAAACCAACAAAAAAATTCCACAATTCCACAGCTAATATTTGAAGCCAAAACAACTAGCCCTTTATGAATATTCTTATTTATTAGACTTGAGTGTAGTACCTTCACAGTAAAATTAAGCATTAAACAGTCAGGATGGGCTTCAGCCAATTTGTAAAAGAGATCTCTCCACGTTGTATGTGCTATCATTTGCTCAAGCCAGGCTGGAGTCTGAAAAGATTAGAGCAACAGAGAGAAACTTAACAATATATAGTTCTCAAGATCATTAAAAGTAAGGCTTTCATCTCTCAGGAGTCCTGTGAGTTGTTCTACAAAAATTTATTACAAAGGATGCACATCAAGTTTCAAAGTTCTCTAAACCTCTGAGGACTACCAAAGAGTTTTGACGATACCATTTCCCTTCCCCCACCATCTGCTACTCCATCAGATGAAGGCATTTAGGGAGGACCCACTCGAGCAGAGACAGCAACATGGATTCCATGCACACCTCTCCTTCCTCTGTAAAGATGGAATCTGCTTTCCGAGGGTCAAAATGCTTGATAAGTAAACTCTTTAAATGGTTTTCTACAGTCTCCTGAACTTGCATTGGCTCAACACCTGTAGAGAAGGAATAGAAAACTTGGCAGATGCAATCCAATCAAACATGGCAGCAATACCTTACATTTTCCAGCGAGAACAGAAACTACTCCCAAATTTACCAACACAGAGAGGATCAGAGGAGAGACATCAGTTCTGCTATTGAGCCATACCGATACAGACAGATTTACAGATTCTCCACCTTTTTTCCTAAATGTTTAGGATGATAGGCAGGTCACACTAATCCCTTTCTCTCACCCTCCTCATCAGACACACAAACAGCAATGTCAGCCATCCCAAAGGACTAGTACTGGGCATGATACCAAAATGCAAGTGTACCTTAACCACAAAAGGGATCAGCAGGGCTGGGGAACAAACCCACCCCACTACAGACTGAAGTTCATCCTTTTGATATACTGGCCATCAGTAGCTTTGATAGTCTTCTATAAAACAATATACAAATAGTAGCAAGTAGTTCTATGTTTCTGAACTCAGAGAATAGTAATTCTGGTAATTTGTAAACAAAAGTTTACACTAAATGAGGGACAGAGATACCACAAGATAATGCTGAATATGTCTTGCAAGGGGTTTAATATGTAATTCTTGTCTCAGAGAATACAGCTTCTCTATATGAGAACCCTTAGTGTAACCATTGATGCACTGAGAAGGAATAGTAACTAGCAACAAGGTAATTGTTTTTTTCAATTTAAATCATTTATTCTATTACAAAATATCAAACATTTCTAACACTATCTATGTAATAGCCCTCTTGCCCTTTGGGTGAAAACAAAAAGAAACTATCTTACGCAGTTGTTTCAACTATAAAAAGTCTTTATAACACAGCCTGTTGGCATTTCAAACTGTTCATCAACAGATTACTTCATTATTCTCTGAGCAGAATAAACATATTATTATATAGGGTTTAGCCACATAGTAGATGACAACTTTATAACAATCCATTTCCTATACATGATCAAATTTGCTATTGATTCAGATATTTCTGACAAAAGAAAGACTATAGACCCAAACTATACTGTATCACTTATTGTACCTGTTTGAATGAGCCACTCTGCCAGCAAATTTACAGTCTGTGCCACCGCAGTGTAGTTTTCAGAGAGGAGCTGGATTACATTCTCTGGAGAACCTCCTGCCTGGAAATATCTGATGAAAGGATTACAAAAGAACTATTTGAGTCAAATCGAAAACTAAAAACAACTGAACTCTAAATAAAGGGAAAACAATAGCACCATTTGTACATTTTCACACGCACTTTCATACAAAGTGACAACATCACACCTCTAACACACATAATGTGCTCCATAACACACTTCATGTCACACTCACCTCTTCAACGTGTTAAAGATAGACGGCTCCATTATATAGTCAGGGGTTGAAAATTTCTTCAGGCACTCTTGCTGGACTTCAGCATCATCTTCTCCCTCCCCATCCTCATCATCTTGCTGTTCACAAGCACAGTCGAGTCACACCCCCTCTCCTGTCCTGTCTCCCCCCATACTATTTAGGCCACTTTTCCCCACAGAAACACATCCACCTGCTCCCCGCACGAATAGAGCTTCTTAATGGAGAATCACAGAATCACTAAGGTTGGAGAAGAGCTCTGAGACCACCCTGTGCCCGATGCCCACTTTGTCACCCAGCCCTGAGCACTGAGTGCCACGTCCAGTCGATCCTTGGACACCTGCGGGGATGGAGACTCCAAACCTCCCTGGGCATCCCACTCCAATGTCTAATCACCCCTCACGCGAAGAAATTCTTCCTAATGTCCAACCTAACCCTCCCCTGGCACAGCTTAAGCCTGCGTCCTCTCGTCCTGTCGCTGGTTGCCTGGGAGCAGAGCCCGACCCCCACCCGGCTACAGCCTCCTTCCAGGTGGTTGCAGAGAGGGATAAGGTGACCCAGTTTCAGGTTTTGCAGCTGGATCCCTCCCTGTAGCCCCCATCCAGCCCCAGGCCACACCGCCCGCACCGGCACTGGGCGCTCCTCGCCTCAGCTCGGAGCCGCAGAGCGGGCGGGCCCGGGGCCGCTCTGGGACCCGCCCGGGGCTGCCCCTCGGCCCCGCTCCCGGGGCTCCCCCGGGCCCTCACCGCGCCCCCGTCCGCCTCGCTGCCCCACTCGGCCGCGCTGCCCTCGAAGTAATCCGCGTCCTCCATGGCTCCTCCCGGCTCCTCCCGCAGCCGGAACGGGCGGGGCGGCGCCGAATGGCGGCGGGGCGGGGACGGGGCGGCCGCCATGGGCGGAGGGGGCCCGGGATGGGCGGTGCGGGGAGCCCGGACACCCTCGGGACAGGGGCTCGTCCCGGGCACGGCCTGCTGGGAGACGGGCGGGACACGGCACAGTCGGGGGGAGCAACGTCGGGGGGGAAAAGGAGCCCTGCCCTGCCCTGCCCTGCCCTGCCAGACCTCCCAGCGCAGCGACAATCGGACGGAAATTGCAAGGGAGGAGGGAAAAATGGGATGTGCAGCTCCATGGGATGTGCAGCTCCATGGGATGTGCTGTTCCATGAGATGTGTTGTCCGTGGGATGTGCAGCTCCATAGGATGTGCAGTACCATGGGATGTGCAGCTCCATGGGATGTGTTCTCCACGGGATGTGCTGTTCCGTGGGATGTGCAGCTCCATAGGATGTGTTCCCCACGGGATGTGCTGTTCCATGGGATGTGTTGTCCATGGGATGTGCAGCTCCATAGGATGTGTTCCCCACGGGGTGTGCTGTTCCATGGGATGTGTTGTCCATGGGATGTGCTGTCCTGGCTGCAGCTGGGTAACAGCAGTTCCCTCCCTCGCAATTTGTGAAGTGTGAAAAGGATGGTGAACACCAGCAAGTTGATAGAAATAATGCAATTTATGGTAGAACTGGAAAACTGACAAGTAAGGGGGGGGGGGAAAGGAAGGATAACTTTGAGGAACAGAAGTGGTAAGATCTTTAGGACCAGGTTTTAATGATAAAATTTGAGGCCCAGCATGGGTGTAGCTCTGATTATCCAAAACTTGCCAGAGAATAACATTAAGTAACATTTCTGCCTTTTCTCATTGCATTTGAAGTGTTTGGGCATTACTTTCAGTCTGAGACAAAATCCTGAAGTCTTTGATCTAAAAAAAAAAAAAAAAAAAAAAAAGAGTTAATAAACTAGGACTAGGAATTACAGACAGATGAAGATGGGCTAAGTCTAAAATGAAAACTGATCACAGAATGTGGCCTCAGGCAGGAGATGGGCATTACTGAGACCATGTGAGAGAAACAGAGTCCCTTTGTCTCTCTTCAGATCCACTCCTTCAGTTGTATAAGAGCTTAACTGTGAGAAAGGGGAGGGTGAGGGTGTGTTCTGGGATTTGGAGGGCAGCCAAGAGCATTGCTGATTAATCATTTAAATGGTCCTTTATTCTCATTCAGTTTCTAACTAAAAACTAGTAAAAAGGAATTACATTGTCTTCCATGCAGTCCATGAGATTGCTCGGTAGGAAAGGCCAAAAAAAACCTTGCTCAGAAATAAGTTGTAGGATCTTCACCAGCCATGGTCCTTGTTCAAGTGTCTGTGCTGATCAAAGGATTTACTGCCCTTCAAATTTCAGTGTAGAAAATGTGCAGCAGCACCCGAACTGCAGCACAGAGCGAGTTGTGCTGTCGTGTGCTGCCCTACAGTGGTGAACCAGCCCTTCCTGAAACACTGCTTCAACACTGGTGTGAGCCCGGGATAATGTTCTTTTTGCTCTGACAACAGAAAGGAAAAGAGACTTTTCCAGAATAAAAAGCACGGATTGAAGCAGAGGCACAACAGACACATTCCCTACCTGTGCCAGACACTGCAGTCAGGGAGGCAGTGAGGGACATTTCAACGCCTGTGGAATCACTGGGCATTTTTTATGAGGAACAAACTGGGAGTGAGGTGACAGGCTGAGGCTGGAAGCCAATGGAAATATCCTTGAGAAAAAGTTGTTGGCTCATCTCCATTTTTTTAGTGGGCAATTTCCATCCCGTAGACATGAGGAAATAACAGCGGACTCGGAACAGACAGTGGGATTAACCAGTCAGAGCTCCTGAGAAAAATCCCAGTTTAATCTATCCTAAAACAAGAAAGAAAAATTATTTTCTGGGAGTCTCATAAGAAACATCTATATACCTCCTGGGCTTCATCAGCTTTTTTTTTTTTTTTTTGGCTTGTAATGATGTTATAAAATGTATAATTAGGTGTAGGATGTTCTCTGAAGGTGATATCAGAGTAATTGTTATAGTATCTTAACAGAAGGTTCAGAAAACTTAAAACTGGAGAAGAAGCAAGGCTAGAACTTAACTAACTTTTCAATGAAAATGGATGGGAAAAACACAAGGCTGATACTTCCTGAGGCTTAGGAGGAGATGTTAATTCTTTACAGAAGGCTCAACTAAATACAGTTTCTAAGACAGATGTTTTTCTACAGGTAGGAGAGGCTTCCTTCCCATGACTGGAATTTGCTGTGCATCTCCTGGGTAGGATATTTGGATCTGCAGTCTGAGGAATTTCATTGTGCCCAGAGCTCATGGCCTAAAATTGCATGTCTGAATCTCAGGAAAAAGCATTGTCAGAGCAGGTAAAATTTTTGTGTAATGACAACAATTGGACTTGTAAGACTTTGATGGTAAAATGCTACAAAACTTCCCACTTAGTTGGGAACCAACTGCCTGTAAGAGACACACTGGTATTACACATTATTGATACCAGTAATTTCAGTCCCTGAATCTTAAAACCGGAAGTTTTTTGTCTTTATATATTTATCTCTCTTTATTTTGATTGCAGTAACAGAAAAAGATTTATTATTTTTTTTAATATATAAAGAACAAACAATACTCAAAGCATTTACTTTCAACTTTCCTCGAGGAGAAAACTAGGGATCTGTAACAGCCAGACATTTGCTGAATAGCCCTTTGCAGCATTGCAATATCCAAGCTTGCCCCACTTCACGTCCATAAACAAGAGGTAAAATCAGATCAAACCCAACAGTTTCAAGGTATCACTTACACTGTGATGAAACATTAAATGTACCAGAAGTTGATTTTGCAAACTAAACTTTTACAACTTTGAATGGAAACAAGGTTGTCTTCTTGGGTTTAACTGCGTTCTGCCATATGGATTTGTGTTTTACAAAGTTTCAGTGAGATGCTCATAAATAAAAGCACTTACATTTACCTGAATGTCCCTGCAAGATTTTATTATTCCGCAAATCAATGGAACAAATTTTTCCCTAAATGCATTATTTGAGTAAATTTTGTGTGTAAAATATTCTTGAGTCCCAATTCCCATCCAATGAGATTTTGATTAAGCAGTGATGAGGCAGAGAGCAAATCTTGAGATAAATTTTGAGACAGAGATGAAATTTTGAGTCCAAAAAACACCCCATGAAGGGCACTCTTGGTGTCTCTGCATGCTTTGAGGAAGCAGTAAAGGCATTCTGGAAAGTGAATGTGTGTGAAGAGCCAGATCTAGAGCAATATGGAAAACTACCTTATTTTTTCTTTTTTTTTTTTCTTTTACCTTTAAAAAAAACCAGAAAAAAACAACCAACCAACCAACCAAAACCCAACCCCAAACAAAAACAACCTCCACAAACAAACAAACAAACAAACCACCCCAAAATACCCCAACAAAATCCAGAAGAATAAACCAAGTATCAAATGCTCAAGTTTCAATTCCACCCAACTATCAAAATTTGTTGCTTGACTTTTGAGCAGATTATTTAACAGCTATACCTCAAGATTTGCTACCTAAAGGGCTGAATGTAATACAGCTGATCATCCAACTTCATTTGGTTCCTTCCTGGAATAAAAGAAAAATCCCAAACAGAAGAGCCGATTTCCAACAAAAACTGTTTGCCTTTTATTCATATGGTTTTTTTTAAAAATATCCACCCTGGCATTCTCTGTCATTCCCTCTGCTCCTTGCCCTCCACAAATTCTTTTAGCATAAATTTGTATTTTGTAATCATTAGCCCTTTACAAAGCAGCCAATACATTCAACTAGAGGTGAGGTTATAACTTTCAAATGGGGTAGGAAATTACAGCAGCATCATTAGGCTAATGAGTTTTGGCTAAAGACTTCTTCCTTCTCAAGCAGAACCTCAAGATGAAGCATTTTTGTTTGTACCTGGAGATTCACAGTTATAGAACAGCGTTGTTCCAGACATTGAACACGTGACACTTCGCCAGGTAACAGCAGCACTGTGAGACAAAACAAGGTGGGTCTGAGGTTGCTGACTTGATGTCAATTCTGGTCTCCTTCAAACATCAACTTAAAAGTTGGAATTATATTTATAAACTGAGAATTGCTTAAAAGCAGAGCCTCACAACACCCCAAGTACTTTCCAAGATGAGCCTATAGCGGAAACATTTTCTTGCCTCAAAGCAAGTTCCAGCTGATTTGAAAACTGATCATTAAACTCACCCTTCAGTGAACTGTCCCAGCTCTAGAATGGATGCACCAAGTGCTTTTTTTGCAGTTCCTTAATTGGAGATATCCTGGCCTTTCGGAGAGATACATTCTCTGACCTGCAAAATTTGTGTAAGGATCCCAAACTGGATCACTCACCTGGGGAATGAAGGATTTCCCCCTTAAATCTATTTTTCAGTGTCCAACGGGATGGATTTAGGAGGACTGTTTAGCCTTCCCCATCTCCTTTAAACTTTGGCTGAGGTTGTCTCAGAACTTTCTTTCATAACTGCTCTATTCTCTTCTCAACCACATCACTGTAAGAGGAAGGGGGGTGAGGACAGGAGAAAGCAGCTGAATCCAAAGGCAGCAGGTTTTGGGCCATGCTGTAGGACAGAACAACTGGCTGTAAACTCCCCAGTTTTAAATCCCAAACAGGTTCCCAAGAGCTGTTGCTTGTGGCAGCTCTGGGCTTCCAGACTGTCTTACACAGACAAGCCTCTGTAGCCCAGCAGAGTTTTGCCCTGTGAGAAACAGAACTCAAGGTTAGCACCAAAACTGGCATGAAATATGCTACTTCATTTTGGATGTCGTGCCTTCAAATCATAAGAGAACAAAGATTAAAAATCCTGAGCTCCATCCATATCACCCATCACACTCCCCCCTCAGGACAGACACTGCCCCGGGGGCTCTACCCTAAAGCAAGTTTGAAATACCTTCCATTAATACTTTGAGCTCTCACACAGACATGTTGGCTCTATCACCCAACCCCTAATTTGTCTTCTTACG